GGGGGGGAGGAAACAAGGTATATAAATGAAAAAGAAAGAGGATTAAGAAGAAGAGTGATTCTGCTGAAAGTCTGAAACCATGGAAGGGACTGCTTCTGCTGAAAGTCTGAAACCGTGGAATGGAATGTTTCTGCTGAAAAATGGAGGTGGACAAAGTGCATATCATGGTTCCGTTTGTGTGTGTGTGCATTCATGTATATGCGTGTCTTAAAAAGATTCATTTCTTGGAAACTAACATATTTCCTGACGTGAATGCCCATATAAAAGGAGGGAGGTGGACGAAGTGGTGTAGGCACGTTTAGAAGAGAGCTGACAGTGGCCCTGAGCCTGTGACTAAGAATATATGCAAATTATATGTCCGTTTGTGTGCGTGTGCATTCACGTGCATGTCTTAAAAAGATTCATTTCTTGAGCTAACATATTTCCTGACGAATGGACATATAAAAAGAAGAATGGAAGACTGCCAAAATATCTTTTATTTGAAAAGACATCACGTGTCATCAGAGGCGGATCCAGGATTTAAACCTTATGGGTTCAACTCTTAAGGTTTTTAGAATTGAACTCATTATAATTTTAAAGTTATGGGTTCATATCTATTTTTTTGCAATTTTAATGAATTTTTATAGAAAATTTTTTTAGTCCGCGTGGAAAGTTATGGGTTCAATTGAACCCGTCACCAGAACACTACATCCGCCCCTGCGTGCCATTGAAGTTTAAGTCCTTCCATATGATATGTGTATGTAGAATAAGTTGTAAAACTTCACCTACTGCGCATGAGCGTAGAGTTTATCTTGATGAGTGCATATTTTCAGATAGCGGTCAAAAGGCTAAAAGTGTGGAGCAACAAAGCCGAGATGGAATTTGCTGTTGAAGTTGAAATTCTGGCTCGAGTACGACACAAAAATCTGCTAAGTTTACGTGGTTACTGTGCTGAAGGCCAGGAACGTCTGATTGTATATGATTACATGCCTAATTTGAGCTTACTTTCTCATCTTCACGGGCAGCATTCTGCCGAAAGCCTTCTTGATTGGAAGCGACGAATGAACATTGCAATTGGTTCTGCTGAGGGAATTGTGTAAGTAATTGTAACATCCTTGATCCTTCTTCCTGACTATAACCCCCCACCCCGGATGTTACAGGGTCTTATGTTTTCTCCTCATTTATTTGACTGTAATGTGTACAACAGCTATCTACACCACCATGCGACCCCACATATCATCCACAGAGACATCAAAGCAAGCAATGTACTGCTCGATTCTGATTTCCAAGCCCAAGTTGCTGATTTTGGATTTGCAAAGTTCATCCCAGATGGTGCAACACATGTAACCACAAGAGTAAAAGGCACTCTGGGCTATCTTGCACCAGAATATGCAATGTTAGGGAAGGCATCAGAGAGCTGTGACGTGTACAGCTTTGGTATTCTTTTACTAGAGCTTGCTAGTGGCAAGAAACCAATTGAGAAGCTTAGTCCAACTGTGAAACGCACAATCACTGATTGGGCTCTACCCCTTGCATGTGAAGGGAAGTTCAGCGAACTTGCAGACCCAAGGTTGAACAGAAACTATGTGGAGGAAGAATTTAAAAGACTGGTTCTTGTTGCACTTATTTGTGCTCATAATCGACCTGAGAAGAGACCGACAATGCTTGAGGTTGTTGAGCTACTGAAAGGAGAATCAAAAGAGAAGTTTGAGGCATTGGAAAATGACGAAATGTTCAAGATTCCTCCAGCTACGGATGATGATATGTTGACAGGAGCAGAAGGTAATGCAGACGCTGCTGCATCAGAGTTAAAAGAACCAAAACCAGAAATTGAAAAGGTAGAGGTATAGGTCAAGAGAATCTGGAACCGGGATTATTTGATTGTGGTTTGTTGATATTGAATTTGTGTAGGACTACTTATGTTTTTCCAGGAAGATATACTGACATCCATTACATGGAATGGAAGGTACTTTATTTGAATTCATAGTATCTTCATTGGGTTGTGCAGGTGTGGATGTTCTTGTTGTGTTTGTCTTTGTGATTTCTCGTGTAATATGTTGAACACAAGAAATGAAAACTGTTTATATGCTGAATGGTGTTTGTAGGTCTTCAGATCAGATTGAGATCAAAGAAGTATATTGATTGGGTTGTAGTGTGCTAGTGATAAACTTTATTGTTCCTTAACAGTGCGCCTTTTCAGTCAAATCGTAAGTTTTCTATAATCACAACTTCATAGATCTTCAAAATGGCAGAAATTTATTTTGTGGTGATTGACCAGAAAAGTGTTTAAATATAGAAGCAGAACAAATTGGATGACATGAATAAGAGAATTGGTCTATGGAAGTTCATATTTCTGGCGAAATTTTATATTATCCAGTAAAGAGCATTTGCTGCTGTTATAAAGTCATTTGAAGCGCTCAACTTTGTGTAGAAATCACATCATATGCTATATCAGCATCTCGTTCTTGATAGCCACAGTTTGAGTACAATTCAGATGTTCAATATGGCATATGCTTAATTTAAGTGTTTAGATAAAAAAAAAAAAGAAAAAAAAAAGAACAAGTTTAAGGGGCTGTCTATGTATTTGGCTATATATATACGTATATAATTGAGGTTCCTGAATAAAGAAATTCAATAGAAAAACACATACGCACACGCAGAGATAATATGAGAGGAAATATCATGTTCTTGGATAAAACTATTTGTGCTTTAAATTAAGAAAAAGTCAAACAACGGATATAAATGAAACAACCCGTCAATTAAATTATAGGGAATGAGGTAACTGAAGCTGTCCTGTCCTTCTTCAATACAAAGACCATGCGTCTGCCTATCAATTGCACTACAGTTACATTAATACCAAAAGTTAAGAACCCCTCCACTATCAAGCAATTTAGGCCCATATCATGCTGCACAATTTTGTATAAACTGATATCCAAAATTCTTACAAAGAGACTGTAAGGAGTAATGGATACTATAATAGACCAAAGCCAATCAGCTTTTGTACCTGAAAGAATTATATCAGACAATATTATTATTAGCCATAAATTGGTCAGGGGTTATGGAAGGAAAGGAGTGTCCCCACGATGTATGATCAAAGTAGACATGCAAAAGGCTTATGACTCCTTAGAATGACCCTACTTGGAACAAATCCTACACGCTTTGAACTTCCCAAAGATGTTTATAGAATGGATCATGATATGTATTACAAGTGTCTCTTATTCAGTTATCATTAATGAGACACCAAGCTTGTCATTTCAAGCCAAGAAGGGACTAAGGCAGGGGGATCCATTGTCCCCATTCCTCTTTGTTATTGCCATGGAGTACCTCAATAGAAAACTCAAGACACTACAAAACAACCCAGATTTTAATTTTCATCCTAAATGCTCAAAGTTGCAGCTTATTCAACTATGTTTTGCAGATGATTTACTTCTCTGCTGCAGGGGAGATGAAATCTCAATTCAATTGCTCATGAACTGTTTTAATGAATTCTCACAATGCTCAGGACTAATAGCAAACAGAGACAAAAACTCCATTTATTTTGGAGGGGTAAGCAGAGAGGTGCAAGAGGAAATTCTAACAACACTGGAGTTTACAAAAAGGGAGTTACCTATTAGGTACTTGGGCGTCCCTCTGAGCTCCACAAGACTATCCCTATTACAATACCAGCCACTTGTAGAGAAGATGTTGGGAAGGATAACTTCATGGACCACAAAATACTTGTCCTATGTCGGGAGACTCCAACTGATCAAGAGTGTACTATTCTCAGTCCAAGTATTCTGGTCCCAAATCTTTGTGCTACCTAAGAAAGTTGTGAAACTGATAGAGGCAACATATAGAAGCTTTCTCTGGACTAACACAACAAAGATATCAAAGAAAGCATTGTTGGCTTGGGAAAAGGTCTGTTGGCCCAAAACAGCAGGGTTTTTTAATGTAATGCACATTGAAACTTGGAACAAGGCAACAATAATTAAACTTTTGTGGAACCTATGTACCAAAAAAGATAAACTGTGGGTAAGGTGTGTCCATATATACTACGGGAAGGGGAAGAACATCTGGGAGGTCCAAGTGAAGCAAGCATCCTAGGTACTACTCAAAATTCTTAAAGCCAAGACATACCTAGAAAGGGCAGGAATGGAGGTTACAGAGTTGATGAGCCAGCAATCCTTCTCTATTAAAAAGATGCACTATAGAATGAGAGGGGAGTTTCCAATGGTGCCATGGAGGAGACTAACTTGCAACAACTATGTTGTTCCTAGGTGGAGTTTTATAATAAATTTGGCGATCCAAGGGAAGTTGCACACGAAAGATAAGGTAGCAGGATGGGGCATAGCAATAGACCAAAAATATGAGTTGTGTAACGAGGAAAATGAAACCATTCCACACTTATTTTTTGAATGTAGGATGTCAAAAGAAATCTGGGGGAGATTACTGAAATGGCAGGGATTCCAAAGGTCGGTATTGTAGTGGGATGAGGAGATTGAATGGACAGTTCGAGAAATAAATGGAAAGAAAGCCATTGCGGAGGTCTACGGAATGACTTTCGCAGGGTGTGTCTACTATATATGGCTAGAGAGGAATACAAAATTATTCCAGGACAAGAAGAAGACTGTTGATGGAATCCTTCGGCTGATAGTACAAGACATATTTTATCGAAGAAACAAGAAGTCAAAAGTAGCTAATAGATTAAAAGAATTGGATTTATATCCATAGGCAGTGAAGGTAGAAGATAGATAGATAGTACCTAGTAGTTGGGGCACTATGCTCAGCTCGCGAGTATAATTTGTCTGATTTTATAGGTTTGAAACTCTGTGCATAATAATGCTTGGTAATAAAATTCTTTATTTACCAAAAAAAAAAAAATCAACGTCGAACTGGCTCTGCTTTAGCCTTTTCTAGTTTTACTTTATTTAAGTGACAACAGCCTGTATGGTATTGTAAGTTTGTCACGGGTTTGACTTATAGTTACATTAATTTTGAGTGGGACAATTTTTTTAAACTATTTAATTAGGTTTAAATACAAAACATGCACACTTTATGAAATTGATTTTTAATTAGCAGATGGACTTGAAAGTCAAATATTTCTTTGACCGCATCTTGTATTTGTGCTAAGTTGTTACTATTAATATAAGGTGATTAATTAATTACATCTCTCTTTGTACAGGGTGTCATTTGTGAAGAATCGCATTGCATTAATGCAACCACTTTTATTAATTTCCCACGCACAAATCAATGCAAACGAGAAATTGTACAAAAATAATGCATGTGGAATTAAAAAGTAGAGCATGTGTATTCCACTTTCTTTTTCTGGGGAAAATTAAATCATAAAAATAATTGGCTTTACCGATATTCCCAATTACTATTTGGTTGTGCGTGTTGAAACTAATTTTGTCAACATCTAAGAATTTAAAAGCCATCTTTTTTTACCCCTAGCTTTTCTTTCTAACAAAAGATAAAATTGAGAAATTTATAAAATTCCAAAAAATGATGATCCTGTAAAAGAAAATGAACTACGGTGTAAATGTGCTATTTCTCATATAGAGATATAAACAAAAGTTTTTATGAAAATGAACTAGAATTATTGACGAAAGAATCTAAATTTTGTTAACAGATTAAAGCAATAAGTTATCGGCGTTAGTAAGCCAATTAAAGAGTAGACACATGTATATATCTATTTTTTTATATATATATATTTGTGCAAATATTTTTTGGATGTTCTCTCATATTGGAAAGTTTACTTGAGCTCCGGCCTTTTTTACTTTTTTTCTTTTTAGCTTGTGTTAGCTTTGTATAGGTCCAAATTTGGTAACCACGGTAATGGATAAGCAAGACACAGGACGGGGTCGATCACAACACAACGACTGACGGTCTTCCAAATAAAGGCCGACAACTAGGAAGCGGGCAGCTAAAATAGGGTAATAACGGTAACTTAAACTCATAAAGAGATAAGAAGAATATTCCTTTGGATATTCTTTATGTTGTACTTTTTAGGTTTTTTTTTTTTTGGAGAATGTCCCTTATAAATAAGAAGAGATAGTGAACAAACAGGGGATCTACCTTTTTGAGAACTAAGAAATATTGTAAAATTGAGAGAAGAATATACGAAAGAGTTGTCTTATTCATTTTATTCAAGCACATATTGTCAACCTTTATTCATATATCTCAAGATCTCATATACATACTGACTGCTCGCTTTTCCACGTCTTCAGAGAAAGAAAGTACCCAATCACATAATCATTGGGTGACAATTCCTTACACTATAACCCTTGTTGTTTCTTGCATTTATTACATATTTATGATATTGCATATTTTGTCAATCATAGCATATTAAGCTCACTAATTAATGCTCCTAAACTTTTCTCGCTATACAAGAGTTTCATTCTATTTGGTCTAGGATTTATTAAGCTCAACTGAGATTCACCCCATTAACTTATTACTAATTGATTTAGCATTTATTTGCTCAAATAATTTGGCGCCGTCTGTGTGGAGGTTTTAGTTGAAACTATACTTCTTTCTAGATCATAAAAAAAACCATCTCTTCCACGTTTGTACAAACTAACGATGGCAGGAAAAGAAGATGCGAGACTGAAGGCGATAGTAGGCGTCACTACCAACATTATGAACACCATCAACGAGGATGGTAGGGAGACGACGAGAATGTAACACCAAATGCTACACCAAGGCTAAGTATTTCACCTCCCCCTCATGAAAGCGTAACGGTTTCACGCGAAAGGGGAGCCTCCACATCCACAGCTGAAGAAGCACCACCAGAAATGAAGAAACTACTAGAAGAGTGGCTGACAAACACTATAAACAATATACTCGACATGCCTGCTCAAAGGGAGAACGGAAACATCGTGCAAGCAGATATTGTAACAACTACTGGCGAGCAGCCCCTTCCTCAAATAAGTAACACTTACCCCACTGTGGATGTAGGCAACGATGTGCTTGCTGCCATTCTAAAAAAATGGAAGAAATGGAAAATGAAAACAAGGCACTCCGCGACCAGATGAAAGAACATCCTAAGAAGAGTCGACAAGATACCAGGCGCCCCAAAGTTACTACCAAAATGAGACGTTGGTCGATTTGTCAAACAACCGTACAACGAAGAAGCGGCTCCACACGTCATTCCCCAAACCTTCAATATGCCACCGTACCTGAAGATATACGTCGGTACTACAGATCCAGAAGATCATATCGTCCACTATGCTACATCGGTGAAGGGCAACGATCTTTCAAAAGAGCAAGTACCATCGGTGCTACTGAAAAACTTCGGCAAAACCTTAACAGGGGGAGCCCTAACCTGGTATTCACAACTGTCAGCACGGTCAATAGCAACGTTCAAGGAAATGGCCAACAAGTTTGTCGCTGCCCATGCAGGGGCTAAGAAGGCGGAAGCCAGAGTGAATGACATATTCGTCGTTAGACAATCACCTGCCGAGGGACTCAGGGACTTCCTCGCCCGGTTTAATAGGGTGAAAATGAGCCTACCAAATGTATCAAAAGGGATGGCGGTAGTAGCCTTCCAGAACGGGTCGAGAGCAACCAGAAAACTATTAAGGAGGCTCATGAAATACCCTCCCACCACTTCATAAGAAATCCACAATGCATAGTGCGCTGAGGTGAGAGCCGACGAGGACGACCTTAACGATCCGATGCAATGGCTAACGTCAGTTCAAGTAGAATCTAGAAAAGATCATCGTAAAGACGGTCGAAGGGATTAGTCGGATCCCCATCTCAGCCGAGAAAGACATCAGCCCTACATCTGAACAACCGTCCCACTACCTCCTCGATATACGGAAGGGCCGCCCAGGCCGCACACAGGGACTCAGGGAAACGAAAGAGGTATGCCTCCACTCTTATCCGCTCACAATTTTGTGTTTCCCCTTCAGAAATAGTGTACGCACTAGAGAGGCTCGGTACGAAGGTGAAATGGCCACAAAAGATAAAGTATGATCCAAATACTCGGAAGTCGAACGTCCTCTATGAATTTCACCAGGAACGAGGTCACAAAACCGATAATTGCATAGGTCTGCGACAAGAGGTAGTGAGAATGTTAAGCCAAGGGCACTTGAGGGAACTGATGAGCAATCGTGGACGAGCCAACTTTGCCTGCATACGCGAACCATACCAGGGACCTCCAAAGCCGCCCTCTCCTGCTCACACCATCCAAATGATCATTGGTGGAGGCGATGAAGCAACAATCAACTATGTGAAGTTCACCACTACGCATAAACTAAAACGGTTGATCACCCACGAACGGTATGATGACCTCAAAGACAGTATCATCTTCAATAAGTCGGATACCGACGGTTTGACTTTCCCTTACTTCGATGCTCTTGTTATTACTTTACGTAGTTTAGACATTGATGTAAGTAGAATAATGGTAGACGATGGAAGCGGCACGTGTATTATCCACCCTCGAGTCCTCGCACAAATGAGACTTGAGGACAAGATAATATCGCGTTGCATAACACTAACAGGTTTTAACAATGCAGTTGAACAAACCTCCAGGGAGATAACACTACCCGTTCTGGCTAGGGGCGTCACCCTGGAAACAACATTCCATATCATGAACCAAGACACAACTTACAATGCCATCATTGGGCGACCATGGATACACGCCATGAGGGCCATCCCATTGATCATCTATCAAGTAATCAAGTTCCCTACTCCATGGGGAATATTCAATATCCGGGGCGAACAATGCACCGCTTAAGAATGCTATCGTATCACCCAGGATTGCGCGCACACCCAATATATGAAGGGAACGGACGCAGAGGCATAACAATTACCATAGTTGGGGACCGAACTCGACGTACAAATAGAGTTATCAGGGACCCCAACATCGTGGAAGCAACTGAATCAACGGTAGAAGATCTCGATCCCGTCCAACTAAATAACAGCGACAACAGCAAAAAGGCTTACATCGGGCATAAACTCTCAGAACCAGGTAAATTTCACGAGTTTTTAATTGACAACGCCGATCTGTTTATTTTCTCTTATGCAGATATGCGGGTTATCCCAAAAGACGTGGCCACACATAAGTTGAACGTCGACCTACTTTATCCGCAAGTACGACAAATAAGAAGGAAATTCAATGCTTTAATCAACGAGGCCGTAAGTGATGAAGTGGATAAGCTCCTCGCCAATAGTTCCATCCGAGAATCAAAATACCCCCAATGGGTCGCCAACATGGTCATGGTGAAAAAGAAAAAGGGAAATGGCGGATGTGCGTAGATTTCACAGAACTAAACAAGTCATGCCCAAAGGACTCCTTCCCACTGCCGTACATCGACCAGCTCCTCGACGCAACAGCAGGACACGAGTTACTAAGCTTCTTGGACGCCTACTCGGGTTAAACCAAATCCTCATAGAGGAAGAGGACCAAGAGAAAGCTACTTTCATCACTCATTAGGGAACAAAAGCTACTTTCATCACTCATTAGGGAACGTACTGCTATAGAGTTATGTTGTTCGGGTTGAAGAATGCGGGGGAAACGTACCAAAAGTTGGTCACCAAGATGTTGAAAGATCAACTCAGCAAAACAATGAAAGTTTACATCGACGAACTATTGGTTAAATCAAAAAGAAAAGAAGACCACATCACCTGAAAGAAGCCTTCAGTATACTGATGCGGTACGACATGAAACTAAATCCCGAAAAATGTGCCTTCGACATAACCTCGGGAACATTTCTTGGTTTCTTGGTATCACTAAGAGGTATCGAGGTCAATCTAGATCAGATCAAAGCCATTGAAGGGATACCTGAGGTGTTGACCAGAAAGAAACAGGTGCAAAAACTGACTGGCCGTATAGCCGCTCTGTCAAGATTCATCTCGCGGTCATCCGATAGAGGCCACAAATCCTTCAACATGCTGAAAAAAGACAACGGGCTCCAGTGGAACTCAGAATGCATCGATGCCTTGAAAGGACTAAAAGCTTACCTATCCTCGCCCTCACTACTTGCCAAAGCAGAGCCTGGCGAATACCTCTTAGTATATTTGACCGTCTTAGAAGTTGCGGTAAGTGTTGTGCTGGTCTGCGAGAATAAAGGTATGCAATCCCCAATTTATTATATTAGCAAAAACCCTGGTCGACGCCGAAACGAGGTACCCCCACCTAGAAAAATTGGCCTTAGCATTGGTTATAGCTTCACGAAAGCTTAGACCCTATTTTCAGTGCCAACCCATATTGGTAGTGATGACTTTCCCCTTACGGAGCATCCTACATAAACCCGAATTGTCGGGAAGATTGGCTAAGTAGGCCATAGAGCTGAGCGAGCATGATATAATTTGTCATCCGCGAACAACGATTAAATCGCAGGTACTCGCCGACTTCGTCGCCGATTTCAGTGCCAAAATAATGCCCGAGGTCGAGTAGGAAGCTTCTCATACTTCCTCTGGGCAACCCGACCTCTGGGTCCTTTACACCGACGGCGCATCCAACCCGTCGGGGTCTGGACTGGGACTCGTACTCGAGGTCCCAATATGGGAAGTTATCCGCCAATCTATACAATGCCCCGATATGACTAACAATGAGGTCGAGTATGAGGCCGTAATTGCAGGGCTAAAGCTAGCTCTCAAATATGGAGCACGACGAGTCATCCTCAGATGTGACTCACAACTTGTCGTCAACCAAGTTACAGGGGCTTTCTAAATCAAAGAGCAAAGGCTACAAAAGTACCAAGCAGAAATTCACAAACTACTGCCACAATTCGATGAATGTCGACTCGACCAGATACCCCGAGCTCAAAAAATCGAGGCGGATGGCCTCACCAAACTAGCATCCGCCACCAAAAATATCACTAAAGAAAATGTGGTCACCCTCCTCCACTCGTCAATAGACCAACTCGAGGTACACTCCATAAACTTGACTTGGGACTGGCGTAACTGCATCATGACATATTTGTAGCAGGGAACACTCCCACAAGACAAAAAGGAAGCCAAAAAGCTTCGAATGCAAGCGGCCAGGTACAACCTCATAAATGACGACCTGCACAAGAGAACGTTCGGGGGGCCCTTAGCAAAATGCCTAGGGTCGAGTCAAACAAGGCGCGTGCTCAAAGAAGTACATGAGGGTCACTGAGGTGACCATACAGGCTATCGAGTCCTCATCATATGCCTCATTCAAGTAGGGTATTACTGGCCCACTATGAAAAGGGAAGTCACACACTATGTCAAGAGATGCGAGCAGTGCCAAAAGTATGCGCCTATGATACATCAAGCGGGTGAGCTCCTCCACTCTGTCACTTCGCCATGGCTGTTCATCGAATGGGGAATGGACATCATCGGACCCCTCCCAATGGGGCGAGGTAAGACACGTTTCCTTTTAGTTTTAACTGACTACTTTTCCAAATGGGTTAAAGCAGGTGCGTTCACCCAAATATGCAAACAGGAAGTCATCACATTCATATGGAAAAACATCATATGACGCTTCAGCATCCCCAAAGAAATCAACTACGATAATGGGCCCCAATTCAACTGGAAAAAGACGAATGAGTTCTTCAAAAATGGCGCATCAAGCGAATACTCTCCATGCCATATCATCCCGTTGGTAATGGTCAAGCCGAATCCTCCAATAAAACAATATTGAATATCTTAAAGAAAAAGCTTGAGGACGCCAAAGGGATATGGCCAGAGTTGCTACCAGAGGTATTATGGGCCTACCGCACCACGCCAAAAACGAGCACAGGCGAAACGCCATATTCATTAGTCTACGGGACTGACACATGATACTTGTCAAGGTCGGAGAGCCTAGCCTGAGATACTCCAATAAAAGTGAACCAAACAACGACGAGAACAGAAAACAAGACCTCGACGAGGTAGAAGAACGAAGAGACATGGCTTATGTTAGGATGGTAGCCCAAAAACAACAAACAGAAAGGTATTACAACAAGAAGGCCAAAATACGACCACTCAAAGTCGGAGACTATGTCCTCAAGGCCAAAACACAAGCGACCACATACCCGAAAGAAGGCAAGCTAGGAATCAATTGGGACGGGCCGTACAAAATCACAGCGACAACAAACAAAAAAGCATTCCAACTAGAAACAATGGAAGGAAAACTACTACAAAACAATTGGAATGTCACCCGCCTCAAATACTTCAACTTTTGAAAAAGGAGACCCTCAAGTCGTACTTTTTTCCCTCACCCGGATTTTGTCCCAATTGGGTTTTCTCGAGGAGGTTTTTAACAAGGCAACGAGGGGGATGTCTGGAATTTCAAAGTATAATTCATCGCCCCGCCTGCCGATAACCTCTCTAGGCCGAACGATGAATGGACTAGATACATGGAAACTTCTCCAATATATGTATAAAACAGACATGTATAGTACTCCAGTGAATGGAATAAAGAAGCATTTTGTACTCCACCAAGATATTCTCCAACGAAGTGAAATAAAGCAACATTTTACTCTCCATCATTTTTTTCTTTGGCATCTAACATTCGACCTCGCTCGAATTACAACGGGTTAACATTTCGACCTTAACTCAAAATAACACCCCTACGGTCAAAGGCCATCGCCAAAAACATTCGACATTGGTCGAATTACAACGGGTTAACATTTCGACCCTAACTCGAAATAACACCCCTACGGCCAAAGGTCATCACCAAAGTAAAATATTTGACCTCGCTCGAATTACAATGGGTTAACATTTCAACCTTAACTCGAAATAACACCTCTACGGCCAAAGGCCATCGTCGAAAACATTCGACCTCGCTCGAATTACAATGGGTTAACATTTCGACCTTAACTCGAAATAACACCCCTACGGCTAAAGGCCATCGCAAAAAAAAACATTTGACTTCGCTCGAATTACAACGGGTTAACATTTCGAACTTAACTCGAAATAATACCCCACGGCCAAAGTCCATCGCCAAAAGAAAACATTCAACCTCACTCAAATTACAACGGGTTAACATTTCGACCTTAACTTGAAATAACACCCCTATGGCCAAAGGCCATCGCAAAAAACATTCGACCTCGCTCGAATTATAACAGATTAACATTTCGACCTGAACTCAAAGTAACATCCCTACGGCCAAAGGCCATCGCCAAAAACATTCGACCTCGCTCGAATTATAACGGGTTAACATTTCGACCTTAACTCGAAATAGCACCCCTACGGCCAAAGGCCATCGCCAAAGGAAAATATTCAACCTCGCTCGAATTATAACGAGTTAACACTTCGACCTTAACTCGAAATAACACCCCTACAGCCAAAGGCCATCGCCAAAATAAAATATTCGACCTCGCTCGAATTACTCAACATTTGACCTCGCTCGAATTACTTAAATATTTGACCTCACCCGAGTTACCAAGATCTACAATCGACTATGACAAAGCGTTATACATAAGCGACGGAAAAGCCAGTGACCCCCTCACAGCAAATAAATAACAATTCAAAAGTGCACAGCAAAAAGGTAATCATTCCATTACAACTTTTGTATTACAAAAACTTTTTACAAAAGGCTCGAAGACACCCTCACAAAAACAACAAAGCAAAACAAAATAAATACAACATCCTTACGCCGCGTCATCCCCCGCGGTATACTCCTCGTTATACCTAGAATCGGAGGCGAGCCTGTCCGTATCATCATCATCGACATCATCCCCGCTAGGCGTATCGGGATTATAACTGCAGACTTTAGGGGCTGCACGTGCTTTAACATAAACACCCTCGAGTTCTACCTCTGAAACCTTCCCGTTAGCGTACAGG